AGGAAGCTGTGGTACATACACACCATGGAATATTACTCAGACATTAAAAAGAATTCATTTGAATCAGTTCTAATGAGATGGATGAAACTGGAGCCCATTATACAGAGTGAAGTAAGCCAGAAAGATAAAGAACATTACAGTATACTAACACATATATATGGAATTTAGAAAGATGGTCATGATAACCCAATGTGCAAAACAGAAAAAGAGACATAGATGTATAGAACAGACTTGTGGACTCTGTGGGAGAAGGCGAGGGTGGGATGTTTCAAGAGAACAGCATCGAAACATGTATATTATCTAGGGTGAAACAGATCACCAGCCCAGGTTGGGTGCATGAGACAAGTGCTCGGGCCTGGTGCACTGGGAAGACCCATAGGGATCGGGCAGAGAGGGAGGTAGGAGGGGGGATCGGGATGGGGAATACATGTAAAACCATGGCTGATTCTTGTCAATGTATGACAAAAACCACTACAATATTATAAAGTAATTAGCCTCCAACTAATAAAAAATAAAAATAAATTTTAAAAAATGAACTGTGGTGTTGGAGAAGATTCTTGAGAGTCCCTTGGACTGCAAGGAGATCCAACCAGTCCATCCTAAAGGAGATCATTTCTGGGTGTTCATTGGAAGGACTGATATTGAAGCTGAAACTCCAAGACTTTGGCCACCTGATGTGAAGAGCTGACTCACTTGAAAAGACTCTGATGCTTGGAAAGATTGAGGGCAGGAGGAGAAGGGGACAACAGTGGATGAGATGGTTGGATGGTATCACCGACTCAATGGACATGAGTTTGGGTGGACTCCAGGAGTTGGTGATGGACAGAGAGGCCTGGCGTGCTGCAGTTCATGGGGTCGCAGAGTCAGACATGACTGAGCGACTTAACTGAACAGCTTGTAAGTATGGTATGATATTCCACTTATTAGGGATGCAGGAAGAAGTTTTGACTAGTCTCCTAGCATTAGAAATTCAGGAGAAATGTCTGAGAAATAATGATAATTCACAAAATTATATGATGAATGAACATCTTCATACATAAGTTCCCCACAGAATATAAGTTTTACGGTAGCCAAGTTTTTATCTGTTTTGTTACTGACAAGTCATGGGTGCCCAATAAATATTTGTGGGGTAAATATATTTTCACATATATGGATCTATATAGATATTTTAAATTTCTCTATATATTGACCAATCATCCTCCAAAATTACTGCTTCATTATATACTCTTATCGGACATCATCTGTAGAGCTCAGTTTAGTGGAAATAGTGAATGCTTGTGTATTAGTTTCCAGTTGCTATAACAAATTACCACAAATATAGGGGCTTAGAACAACCCAAGTTCATTATATTCCAGTTCTTGGGGTCAAAAGTGCAAAATCAGTTGGCAAGAATGTGTTCCTTCTGAAGGCCTCAGAGGAGAATTCATTCCCTTGCCTTTTTCAGCTACAAAAGGCAGCATTCTTTGGCTTGTGGCCCCTTCCACATCATTCCAATCTCTCTTTCCATTGACATATCTCCTTCTCAGACTTTCACCCTCTGGTCTCTCTCCTTCCTTTATATAGACTCTCATAATTACAGTGGGCCCTCCATGATAATCCAAAATACACTCCCCATCTTGAAATCTCTAAATGAATAAAGTCTGCAAAGTCTCGTTTGCCACATAAGGTAACATATTCACAGGTACCAAGGGATTAAAACATGGACATCTTTGTGGAGCCATTACTTTGCATATCACAGCTGGGAATCAGGTTTGAATATCAGAGTTATTACTTCAACATGCATATCCTTCACACGTGTTGAGTCTCTACTTATCATGTCCTGAACTAAATGCCCTAACTAGTTGACTGGTCTTGGCCAAGTTACAAAAGCTCCTTGAGACTCCTTTTTCTCACTTGCAAAAGTGGAGGGATTCACATGTGTCTCATAGAACAGGTGTATGGAGAATGTCGGCAGACATTCTTTTCCATTTAATCAACATTTAGGAAATAACTTATACTGTTTAAATCTTGACAAAATGTACGTAAAATACTAGACTAAGCAGTAAAATGTAGAGAAACAGATCCTCTTGCTGTGTGATCAGTTGCACCCAACTCTTTTGCCACATCACAGACTGTAGCCCACCAGGCTCCTCTGTCCACAGGATTCTCCAGGCAAGAATACTGGAGTGGGTTGCCATGCCCTCCTTCAGGGGATCTTCTGGACCCAGAGATTAAACCACATCTCCTGCACTGGCAGGCAGATTGTTTACCACTGAGCCATCAGGGAAGCCCTGTAAACTGCTGATGTTGATATAAATTGGTACAGGCTTTCTAGAAGGTGATGTGGCACCATGGATGTAATGTAAAACCTTTTATTTGTTTGTTCTCTTTATCCTAGTAAGTACCCACTTCTAAGGTGCATCTTAGGGGCATGGTTGAATTTATGTCTGAAGATGCTCAATAAAATATTATTTACAATATCTCAGGGGGGAGTGGAAACAGACTCAATGTCCACTAATAAGGAATTAGGTAAATGAGTATGGTACATTTGCATTGCAGAAATCTCATCAGCCATATATACATAAGAAAATTTGCGGGGCTTCCCTGGTGCCTCAGTGGTGAAGAATCTGGCTGCCAACGCAGGAGACACAGGTTCAATCCCTGGGCTGGGAAGATCCCCTGGAGGAGGGAATAGCAACCTACTGCAGTATTCTTGCCTGGGAAATCCCACGAACAGAGGAGCCTGGCAGGCTATAGTCCACGGGGTCGCAAAAAAGTTGGATACAACTTAGCAACTAAACAGCAACAGCATTTCTTACAACTGAATGTGACTGTACAATTACCTCAATAAAACTGTCACGAAAAAGAATTCTGTAGAAGAATATTAAATACCACGTTCACAGATTTATCAAATGAGAGCAACAAACCCTTGATTTAAATCAGGGTTACTCATGATATCAGTAAAATAATTCTGTGTGGTGAAAATTTAAATACCAAAAAAAAAAAAAAAAGACAAAAACTAAAAGCGTAGATGATGTTACAGTAGTAATTTCTGGTAACAGAATTACAAATGATTTTTATTTTTGCTTACTTATACAGTATTTTTTACTTTCTAATAATGAAGCTTGGGGGAAAGGTGCGTACACACAGAAGAATTCCTCTAATTAGATAATAGGCATTTCTACCTACAGAACAAATACCTAGGTGTCCCCCTAGTGGAAGACTAGACCAGGCTGCCCCGGGTACACCTGGTTGGGACTTTTTACAGAGCTAAGAACCCACCTGCCAATACAGGAGACGTAAGAGAGGCGGGTTCAATCCCTGGGTGGGGAAGATCACCTGGAGGAGGGCATGGCAACCCACTCCAGTATTCTTACCTGGAGAATCCCATGGACAGAGGAGCCTGGCAAGCTATAGTCCATAGGGTCGCACAGAGTCGGACACGACTGAAGCGACTTAGCAGCAGCGGCAATTATAGTCAAGACCTTTCGAGAAAAGCAAGAGTCTGAGATTAACAAACTATTCCGCTTATTCAAAAAAAAATTTTAAGAGGGGCCCGTTGCAAAAGAAAGGAGCAAACCTCACCCTGGGTAGCAGGTGCTACCCATTCTAAGCGCAATCCTTAGACTGTTAACTTTTTCAATGGACAATGTCAGGGAGCTCAATTCCTTGGGTTTACATCTCCTCTCTCGCTTTGTGGTAGCTTGTGCTCTGGTGGGTCTAGGCCGCCTGACTCTCAGGTCTAAACTACAGACAAGGTGAAACCTGAAGACCGCAGCAGACACCTGTTGAAAGCGATAGCACCACCCCGCGACTCCACGAATCTTCGATTCCTCTAGGTTCCTCTTCGGCTGCATTCGGCCAGCTCTCGTCCTGTCGGGCTCGGCTCTCTTCGGCTACGTTCGGCGGCTTTCGTCTCGGAGTCGGCCCCCTTCGGCTACGCTCGGCTCTCTTCGGCCTGGTTCGCCCACTTTCGTCTCAGACTCGGCCCCCTTCGGCTACATTCGGCCGCGGCCCCGGAAGGGCGCCCATGGAGCCGGGCTCGCCGGCTAGAGCGACGGCTATGGCGCCGCTCTTGGAATACGAGCGGCAGCTGGTGCTGGAACTGTTGGACGCCGACGGACTGGTAGTGTGCGCCCGCGGGCTCGGCGCGGACCGGCTCCTCTATCACTTCCTCCGGCTGCACTGCCACCCGGCGTGCCTCGTGCTGGTGCTCAACACGCAGCCGGCCGAGGAGGTGCGGCCGGCCGCTGGCGCGGGGGGCGAGGGCACCCCGGGGTGGGGGGGGGTCTCCTGAGCGGACGCAGGCCTCCCGCGGAGGCCAAGGGCCACGCGGGGCCCTGACGCGGGCGGGAGGGCGTGGAGTGAGGGTCCTTGAGGTAGATGCAGGCCCCTGGCGCGGGTGCGGAAACGCTGAAAAGGTGGGAGAGGTCCCGAGGTGATCGCAGGATGCTGACGTAGGTGCCAGGACCCTGAGAGGGCGGCAGGGTCCCCAGGGAAGACGCGGGACCGTGACACAGGTGCGAGGACGCTGAGTGTTGGAGGGTCTCTGGGAGCAGTTAGGGGAGTTCATTTGAGGAGGATGGAGGTGGGGAGCAGGATCGGAGGTCTCTGGAGAGGGTGGGGAGATACTTGGAGGAGCATATGGGTGGGAATAACGAGGCAGTCCTCAAGTTGGATATTAAGGGACTTGCTGGAGCAAGAGCAGTGAGGTCCCTAGAAGGGAACAGTGATGGGGATGGAGTCACAACGAGGACTTAGGAGACGCTGAGGCTGGGGAGAACTCAGCAGGGACGGGAACTCACCCAGGCTTAAGGGACGCGGGGCACAGGGTCCGAAGGGAAGGGAACTGGAAGCTGAGGTTATTGGGAAAGGGTACCTGGGTTGGGGAGAGTGGAGGACACTGAGGAAAATAGGATACACCTGTGTTGTGGGATAGTGACAGGTGTCACAGCCTGGTTGACAAGTCTGATGAGCCCCTAGATATCTAGAGCAGGTGGCCTCAAGGAAAATGCCAGCTGAGAAGAGTGACCATAAACTCCTAAGAGCTGGGGACCAGGCTGATTCATCTGGGTATCCCTTGTGCTCGACTGGGACTTAGCATGACAGGCACCCCCCTGTCACGCCCCCCTGGCACGGAACTGAAGATGTGAAGGACCAAGGGTCCCACTGACATGATGAAATCCCCTCTAGGGGGCACTGGGACAGAACTAATAGTCTAAAACACCACCTGGGGAAAGGATTCCCTTGTTATCCTCTCACACGGTACACGTGACTGCAAAGCCACCTGTGGCAGGCAGTATTTTCTAGGTAGCAGTCTTTAGCCCAGGATTTTAAAGTCTTTTTGTTGTTAAACTGCTAATAACATCTCAAGTGCAATGAGTCTTTAGTGGAAACCCCAAAACAAAAACAAAACCCTAAGTAAATGTCGATTGATTGGTGTTAAGTAGTAATTTAATTTGTATGTTCATGATACAGTTCATAATCTCTGAAAAAGGCCGCATGTCATTTTAAGTACAAATACTGCTGCTTTGCCGTGCCGTGCTCAGTCGTGTTCGACTCTGTCCAACCCCATGGACTATAGCCCCCCAGGCTCCTCTGTCCCTGGGATTCTCCAGGCAAGAATACTGAAGTGGGTTGCCATTTCCTTCTCCAGGGGCCATTCCCTACCCAGGGATGGAACCCAGGTCTCCTGAGTTGCCGCAGGATTCTTTACCTCTGAGCCTTCAGGGAAGCTCTTTAAATACAAACACTTGCAACCTATTAAAAACTGCCCTGTATTAAATAGTCTGCTAATCCAGTTTAATTTGATTTAGGAGTATTTTATCAATCAGCTGAAGATAGAAGGAGTTGAACATCTCCCTCGGCGAGTAACAAATGAAATCACAAGTAGCAATCGCTATGAAGTATACACACAAGGCGGTGTGATATTTGCAACAAGCCGAATACTTGTGGTTGATTTCCTGACTGATAGAATACCTTCAGATTTAATTACCGGTGAGAATTTGAAGCCTTATTGTTTATTTGCATATGTTTCTTTTTTTTCCATGTATGTCTGTTCCCTCTGCTAAACTCTAAACTAGAACCTTGTTGAAAACAGCATTGGATGTTTTTTTGCTCAGCATTTTGCTTCCAGGTGTTAACACAATACCTGACACATTTTGGATGCTCAGTAAATATTTATGGCCTGAATAAGAAACTAAATGTAAGATTGACATTTCTGTGTTTTTTAAGCTCATATTCAGTCAGTGCTTACTAATTGACTGGCGGTTGCTTTTAGAAGCTAATCAGATTTGAATGTTTATAAATATTCTTTGTATATCCCCGAAAGTATTTTGGTTTTCTTTAAAGAGTATTTTTTTTTAAACTATGATTTGAAATTTTCATTCGCTTACAGTGTTACATTGGTTTTGGGTGTATAACACAGTTAATTCAATTTTTTTTTTTCATTTATTTTTATTAGTTGGAGGCTAATTACTTTACAATATTGTAGTGGGTTTTGTCATACATTGATATGAATCAGCCATGGATTTACATGTATTCCCCATCCCGATCCCCCTTCCCACCTCCCTCTCTACCCACTCCCCCTGGGTTTTCCCAGTGCACCAGGCCCGAGCACTTGTCTCATGCATCCAACCTGGGCTGGTGATCTGTTTCACCCTAGATAATATACATGTTTCGATGATGTTCTTTCGAAACATCCCACCCTCGCCTTCTCCCACAGAGTCCAAAAGTCTGTTCTGTACATCTGTGTCTCTTTTTCTGTTTTGCATATAGGGTATCATTACCATCTTTCTAAATTACATATATATGTGTTAGTATGCTGTAATGTTCTTTATCTTTCTGGCTTACTTCACTCTGTATAATGGGCTCCAGTTTCATCCATCTCATTAGAACTGATTCAAATGAATTCTTTTTAATGGCTGAGTAATATTCCATGGTGTATATGTACCACAGCTTCCTCATCCATTCGTCTGCTGATGGGCATCTAGGTTGCTTCCATGTCCTGGCTATTATAAACAGTGCTGCGATGAACATTGGGGTGCACGTGTCTCTTTCAGATCTGGTTTCCTCGGTGTGTATGCCCAGAAGTGGGATTGCTGGGTCATATGGCAGTTCTATTTCCAGCTTTTTAAGAAATCTCCACACTGTTTTCCATAGTGGCTGTACTAGTTTGCATTCCCACCAACAGTGTAAGAGGGTTCCCTTTTCTCCACACCCTCTCCAGCATTTATTGCTTGTAGACTTTTGGATAGCAGCCATCCTGACTGGCGTGTAATGGTACCTCATTGTGGTTTTGATTTGCATTTCTCTGATAATGAGTGATGTTGAGCATCTTTTCATGTGTTTGTTAGCCATCTGTATGTCTTCCTTGGAGAAATGTCTGTTTAGTTCTTTGGCCCATTTTTTGATTGGGTCATTTATTTTTCTGGAGTTGAGCTGGAGGAGTTGCTTGTATATTTTTGAGATTAATCCTTTGTCTGTTGCTTCGTTTGCTATTATTTTCTCCCAATCTGAGGGCTGTCTTTTCACCTTGCTTATAGTTTCCTTTGTTGTGCAAAAGCTTTTAAGTTTCATTAGGTCCCATTTGTTTATTTTTGCTTTTATTTCTAAAATTCTGGGATGTGGGTCATAGAGGATCCTGCTGTGATTTATGTCGGAGAGTGTTTTGCCTATGTTCTCCTCTAGGAGTTTGATAGTTTCTGGTCTTACATTTAGATCTTTAATCCATTTTGAGTTTATTTTTGTGTATGGTGTTAGAAAGTGTTCTAGTTTCATTCTTTTACAAGTGGTTGACCAGTTTTCCCAGCACCACTTGTTTAAAGAGGTTGTCTTTTTTCCATTGTATCTCAATATTTTATAGATTATGCTCCATACAAATTTATTATGAAGATTGACTGTATTCCCTGAGCTGTACATTACATCTTTAACTTGTTTCTTTTATACTTAGTAGTTTGTACCTCTTGATCTGCTTTTTGTATTTTGCTTCTCCCCCATCCCTCTCCTTACTGGTACCACTAGTTTGTTGTCTGTTCCTGTTTTTTTACATTTGTTCATTTGCTTTATTTTTTATACCCCACATAAAAGTAAAAATACAGTGTTTGTCTTTTTCTGTCTGACTTACTTCCCTTAGCATAATACCCTCCAGGTCCATCCATGTTGTGGAAAATGGCAAAATTTCATTTTTTATTATGACTAAGCAATGTTCCATCGGATATATATTTCAGTAGTCACAAGTCAAGTTTCAATATTGAACCATCCTTGCATCCCTGGAATAAATCACACTTGGTCATGATGTGTGATCCTTTTTATTTATTGTTGAATTCAGTTTGCTGATATTTTGTTGGGGATTTTTGCATCTGTGTTCATCAGGGATATTTTCTCTTTTTGTAGTGTCTTTGTCTGGTTTTGGTATCAGAAAAATGCTGACCTTGTAGAATGAGTTTTGAGGTGTTCCATCCTCTGAGTTTTTTGATAATTTGAGAAACATAGGTATTTACTTTTCCTATAATGTTGGGTGGAATTCTTAGCCCTAGATTTTTCTTTGTTGGAATTTTTTTATTAGTGATACAGTTTTATTACTAGTTAGATATTTTATTTTTTTCTGATTCAATCTTTGAAGATTGTATGTTTCTGGGAGTTTATCCATTTCTTCTAGGTTGTCCAATTTGTAAGCATATAACTCTTAGTATATTCTCTTATGACTGTTTATATTTCTGTGATATCAATTGTAAGTTTGCCTCTTTCCTTTCTAATTTTTTTTGGGCCCTTCCCCCTTTTTTTTGTCTTGAGGAGTCTTGCTAAAGAATCAATTTTGTCTTTTAAAGAAAAACAACTTTTAGTCTTATTGATCTTTTCTATTGTTTGTTTGATTTTTTTGGTCTCTGTTTCCACTCAGATTTTTATTTTCTTCTTTCTTCTGACTTTGGGCTATGTTTGTTTTTTTCTAATACCTTTAAATGGAAAATTAGGTTGTTTACTTGAGATGTTTCTTGCTTTTTGAGGTAGGCCTGTATCACTTTAAACTTCCCTCTTAGAACTGCTTTTACTGCATCCCATAGACTTTAGAAAGTTGTGTTTCTGTTTTCTTTCATGTCAAGGGATTTTTTAATATCCTATTTGATATCTTTGTTGGTGCTGGAATTCATAATTGTCCTTCCTACTCTATCTAACACATTGTCCTGAGCCTCGAAGACCCTCAAGAAATATTTAATGCATAAATGTATGAATGAATGTTTTTTTAGTGGAAATGTCATTTGTAATACTTTGGAATTTGATTTGTTTTTGGCTGTGCTGGGTTTCGTTGCCGAGTGGCCTTCTCTCCAGTTGCTTTGAGCGGGGGCTCCCCTGTAGCTGTGGCGTGTGGGCTGATTCTCATTGTGGTGTCTTCTCTTGTGGAGCTCGGGCTCTGGGGCACACGGGCTTCTGCAGCTGTGGCTCCCAGCCTGTAGAACACAGGCTCAGTAGTTGTGGTGCCTTGGCTTAGTTACTCCATGACATGTGGGATCTTCCCGGAGCAGGGATTGAAATTGTCTCTCCTTGGCAGGCAGGTTCTTTACCCCTGAGCCACCAGGGAAGCCCTGAACCAATGTTTTATATGATTCATAGTGACTCGATTGATGGGAAGTGTTGCTGTACTTTTATATTTATCAGTTATAAGCCATGGCATGGCTGTACAGTTAGTGTCAGACTCACTTGACTTTGAAGGGTAACGCCACTGCTTACAAGCAAGTCACTTAATTTGCACAAGTCTAGGTTGTCTCATTGCTTTCGTTGAGAACATAGTGCCTTGTGAAGTTATAAGGACTAAATGAGGTAAAATAAATATAATTGCTTAATACAGTACATGGTATGTAATAAATAATAGATAATAGCAAAAAAAAAAAAAGGCTTTGTATAGCCCGAAATCTTGATACATTGTAAAATATTTTACTGCTTGCTGGTTACTTATAAATTTAGCTTTACTTAAGTTGATAAAATGGAAAAAAGTATTGAAATGACCACTAGATGTCGGTATTACTCTTGACTCCCAGTAACAGCTCAACCTGATTAGGCAGAGAGCAATCTGAATTGAAGGACTATGCAAAGTGTAGTTTATAGGTGGTTCCTAATTAAAATGCTATTCCCATTTCTGATTGATTCCCAGCTAATAATGAAGTTGGAGCTGTTAGTGCTCCTTGGCTGAATAGAATGTAAATGAGCCACAGAAATTAATCCCTTCAAATGCTACAACCCATGGGATCATCGTCTGTCCCCTGCATTCTCCCAGCCCCTGTAGAAGCTTTCAGCACAGCTGTTACAGACCAGTGTCCTAGGAGCATGTAACCCCCTGGGAAGTCCTGAATGCACCAGCCCTAACTCGTTCCTGTCATTAGCTTTTAGCGTCACTGCACCCACCCTAGGCATCCCTGCCAACATGACTTCTCAGTAGTGGGAGAACTGTGAAAATATCTCCCCAGATTATACTTTCAAACTTATAGGGAAAGAGGATTCTTTCATTGTTAAAGCATATTCTGATATCTCTAAATAGACCTCAGAACACACTTTCCTTGGGAAACTTAAAGGAAAAAGTTCCATGTTAGATGTGCATACACAGTGCTATAATTCAGCTTTATCATCATTCAGACTGTATGTCATTTTTAACATTCAATGTTAGTAAAGATTTCACTTGCCAGTTGCCCTTATGTGGCAGGAATGAGATCAGTGCTGAAGACAAAGATGATGAGATGGCAGGGTACTCTCCTGAGTTAGGCAGCCTCTGGGTTTGAGCTCACCGTCAGCAGGTGCCAGCTGTGTGACCTTGGGCAAGCTTCTCCATTTCTGTATGGCTCAGTTTTCTCTCCTTTCTCTTAAGATTATTGTGAGGGTGAACTGACATCAGGTATATGAAATTCTTTGCATTATGCATGGCACATAGTAAGCACTCTCTGATTACTTCTTGTAATGATCTTGTGCCCAAGCAGGAGGGGATAGGTGTGAAGAAGTAATTACAGTGCAGCAAAATGAGATGCAAAAATGTGGCCCTAGAATTGTACCCAGAAACCTAACTTACTTGTGCTTTTTTAAGGGATAGGGGTGCATGGTCCTCAGATGATGTCCCCTAGTAGGAAGCTGTGTTATCAGACCCTCATGATTTGGAACCTTTGGCCTCCATTTACTTGTAGGGTGACCATGGTCAAGTTGCTTCCCTTTCCTGGTCTCTATAGTAATACCTACCCCATAGAGTTATTGTGAGGATTAAATGAAATAAAAATCTGTAAAAGTACCTAAGCCCAGTGCTTAGGGCTGGGATAGAATATACTTCTCTTCTCCCTCCTTCTTCTGGCTTCCAAAAGAATGACAACCTTTTGGAGTACACCATTTTCTTAACTTGAGATTCACCTTTTCTTTAGAAGTCTGTTTTATTATTTCTAACTTTCGTGTCCTGTTTTGCCCAGGGCCACAATTGTGGCCCAGAAGCATACTTGGAAAAACCCACCTGCTAGGTACTAAGTATTTTCTGAGTAGTAGATTAGCTGGGCACATATACTGGTGTTGGCTTCCCCTGGAAAAACGAAGTGGCAACCCACTCCAGTATTCTTATCTGGAAAATCCCAATCCATGGGGTCTCAAAAGAGTCAGACACGACTGGGCAACTAAACAACAACAACATTTACTGGTGTTATTGAAAATCCTCTATCTACAAATTTCTACTTAGCACTGTTTGTTTTTACTGTCTTTGAAAAACAGTTTGCTTGGCTAGAATAAATTTCAGCTCCACCTACCTCAATCTAAATTTTAAACACCAAAATAGTAGAATCTGAATTGAGTCTATTGAACAAGTCTATTGAACAAGTGTATTGAACAAGTCATGGGTTAGTATTGTCATTTTCCAGATCCCAGGAGTGATGAGAATGGGAGAAAAAACATGCCAGTGAGTTTACAGCACATATATATGGTACCTGGCTTGGTTTAGGTCTAAAAGGCGAGAATTGTCATAGAATAATTGACATCTGTGCACTCTTGTCATTTCATGTCTCTCTAATTTCCCACTAATCCTACTGTACCACAGAGGCGTGGGTGTATGATATATGCACATGAGAAATCATCTGGTCCAGAACTCTCTTTTTCTAATTAAAGAAACATGTGTATATCCTGTTTTTGCAATTCAGAGGTGTCATTGTCACATCCACCCCCACAAAACAGATGTTTAAGCATTTTTTTTTAAGATTTTTATTTCAAATAGACTAATTTATCTTTCAGTAAAATATACTCTGATTCTGAAAGTTGAATTCTTACAATAAGTGAAGCAGATGTTGCCCAGACTTCTGAAAGGCAGCTGTTTTGCAGAGTTCACATCTGATTCACATATAAAAGAACAAATGGCCCACTTGACTTTGAGAAATTTTTCCTCCACCAGGTCAGACACACCCCACCTCAGGGCCTTTACTCTTACCCTTCCTTGGACTGGAACTTTTTTGGCCCACCTGGTCACAAGGCTCACCCTTCTCATCTCTATCCAGCCTTTACTCACTTAAGACCTCAGTGGGGTACCCTTGAAATTGCAAATCCTAAAAAATACAACAAACTAGTGAATATGACCAAAAAAGAAGCAAACTTGGAGATACAAAGAACAAATTTGTGGACTGTCTAGTGGTTAAGACTCCGTGCTTCCACTGCAGGGGTCATGGTTTCCACCCTTGGTCAAAGAAGTTCCACACGCCTCAAAGTGCAGTGAAAAAAAAAAANCGACCACTATGGCCCCTGTGCCTCGCCCCAGACCCCCAGCGTCATCACCTGACCCTCGATCAGAATATTTCTTGATCATATCCAGAGTCAACTAGAGCTCCCTGAGCAGGACCTCGCGTTCTCTCTCCCCTCATACCGCCTCATTATCCTGGCTCCACCATTACTCCTTCCAGATTGGCAGGGGGGTACGCATCACACACACTCCCCTGGAGTGGCGGCTGGATTCTGGTACAAGCCCCTCCCTGAGTCCTAACCACCAACAGAGACACGCAGGCCTCACACTGCCCTCGGCGTTCTGCCCCCACCAGCCCAGAACCCTCCAGGCCCTGAGGTGGGAACTCCTTCTTTCCTCATTCAGCGTTCCAGCCCTGTAACTGTGGGCAGGTCTCCATGTCCTTCACTGAGGCCTTGCTGTAAACGGGTCACAGGTGCTGGACAAAGCACTCACTTTGAGTGCGTCTGTGCGTCACCAGCTGGCTGGGAGTGCCGGTTGCTGTGTGACCTTGAGCAGGTGACCATACATCTCTGAGCCTCAGTTTCCCTCTCTCTGAAATGGGGATAATCTGGCCACCCAAGAGTTGTTGTGAGCATCCAAAATCAAAATAAAGGCAACTCAAGGACTAGAATGGATGAGATGGTTAGACAGCATCATCAACTCAATGGATATGAGTTTGAGCAACTCCGGGAGATAGTGAAGGACAGGGAATTCTGGCATGCTGCAGTCCATCAGGTCTCAAAGAGTCAGACACGACTGAGCAATTGAACAACAACAAAGGACTGGAAACCCGGAGTCAGAGCTTCCTCCCCTGACCTGCCAGTTCCGAGGGCCAGCCCTCGGGCTGAGGCACAGACTCTGGGATGCAGCCCACATTTGGCTCGCCTGAGGGGTGGGAGCCCTGACTCTCTAGTCCAGAGGTATTCAGGGTGACCCAGGGTCTCAGGAGCCCTAGAGACCCTTTCAAGGTCTACAAAGTCAAAACTACTTCCATAATAACACTAAGATGCCTTTCTGTTTCCACCCTTCTTTGATCTCGTCTGTGGTATACAGACAGTTCACTGACATGGCTTTAGTTTCATATTGCAGCTAACATTTAAGAAAACATCACTTGCTGAGTTTTGATGAAGTAGTAAAGAAAATCCACAATTCTCTGGAAAGGCTTTGACAACACATTTCCCTTCTCTGGGGGTGTGCAGCCAAGCATTCTCGCTGCACTTCAACCAACAGGCCAAATGCAGAACCAGATGCCAGAATCCACCATCTTCTGCTAAGCCAGACCCCAAAGAGATTTGCAAAGATGCAAAATTTCCCTGGTTTTTCAGACGGTAAAGTGTCTGCCTACAATGTGAGAGACCCAGGTTCGATCCCTGGGTTGGGAAGATCCTCTGGAGAAGGAAATGGCAACCCACTCCAGTACTATTGCCTGGAAAATCCCGTGGACGGAGGAGCCTGGTAGTCTACAATCCATGGGGTGGCAAAGAGTCGGACAAGACTAAGCGACTAACCTTTCACTCCAAGAGAACAACGAATCACCTTTTGCTCTGAAATGACAACATTTGAATATCTACAGGTAGAAGAGTGTACATAAGAAGCTTCATAATTTATGATCTCTTATTTGGAATAAAAATAATTTGGATGAGTTTTGATTACTGAGGAATGTGAAACTTGCCTGTCTTAAAATTACATTCTGAAGTGAGAAAATGGTAAGACTGTAGTCTAGGAATGTTTATTTCAACTAATTTTTTCATCATAGATTAATATTAATACAGGTACATAAATGTCTAAGATCAAATTGTATGTCTAGAAAAAACTAAAAAAATTTCAGGCAGCTTTTTTTTCATATTTTTGTAGAACAAGTTCTTTTCTTTCAAACTCTGAATCAATCTCTTTGTCACTAAAAATAATGCATAGGGATTTTTAAAAGGGAAAAATTTAAGTCCTTATTTTTCTGATTCTTCCAGAAAGTCTTTTTACTGTGAAATAATGATGCATAAAAACCATTCCATGTGTTTTGTGCCTCTGTTTTTAAAATTTATTTTAATTTAGTGCCTAGTATACCAAAAACACCTCTCACATTCTTCTAATGGTACATATATCTGTGTGGTGACGGTTTAGTCACCAAGTTGTGTCCGACTCTTGTGACCCCGTGGAGTGTAGTCTGCCAGGCTTCTCTGTCCATGGCATTTCCTAGGCAAGAATACTACAGTGGGTTCCCATTTCCTCTCCAGGGAATCTTCCAACCCAGGGATTAAACCCAGGTCTCCTGCACTGCAGGCAGATTCTTTACCACTGAGCTACCAGGGAAGCCTCTGTATATGTCCCTAGAAAAACAAAATATAGCCAGATATGCTTCGCACTAAATTTCTATAAATCATCCCCTGGCCAGTAAAAGTCCAAATATTGTTTTACGTATTCATCTCGTAACTAAAATAAAGCATAATTTGCGTTTGTTAGAAAATTTAAGTTTTGTTAATGGTTTTAGAAAAGAGGCATGTAGGTGATTTTTAACAAAAGATGATATACAAAAGGCTTATATGTCCCAGTTTATCTAGGACAGTCACAGTGTCTGCCTGCTGTCCTAGAGCAATTATTAATACTGTCATTTCATTTTCACAAGAGTTTCAGTTTGGACAGTAGATTATTTGGTCTTCTAAATATTACTTCCGTTCAGTATTAAATGTGTTAGATAAGATGCCATGTAGTGAAACTGCTTCTGCATCATGCTGCATTATCCCTTTTAGTTATAGAATCAGCTTGTGAAGGAGACATGCATATATACAGCTGTGGATATATAGATACCTACATAGTATATACATAAAACTGTTCTGTGTTTTAGACAGTTTTTTTAGGGTCTTAAAAAGTATTCAGATTTAGTTGGTTGTTAACAAATATTTTCTCATCCTTGAATCACACTTAAAGAAAATAATAAACACATCTTTTATAGCAGCAAACTACAGTCTGCTGATACTAATGTGATACCATGTACTTTCCCTAGTTTATGTCTTCTTCCTCATCCAGCTGGCTCTCACATCTCTGTCCATACAGGACTTGGCAGAAATTAAATGTATCTCAATTACTTGCTTTGATTCTGCATAAAAGTGAATAATTGAGTATCTGATGTTTATCAGGACCTTTGTCTCCTAATAATGTAAATACAGGTAATTATGAATTGACTGTATCTGATCATAAAGATTGTAGTGATGACACTCTGCTTTACATTTGAAAAATTAAACATTCTAATTAGAATGTTCTGAGTCTTATGAACTTAAATTTTCTGTCCACTTCCTTGGGAGATAATGTCTTTTGTTTTTATTTTTTAAAACCATTGTGGTAAAGCTTACATAACAAAATTTACCATTTTAACCATTTTTAGGTATGCAAGGGATAATGTTTGTTGCAAGTATCATTTGTATTAATAATAGCTATATTAAATATCTCACAGCAGTATTTTATTCTTGTTTTAGACAATTCGCCATTACTTAGATCCTTTGTGGCACCAGCTTGGAGCCAAGACTAAATCCTTGGTTCAGGATTTGAAGATATTACGAACCCTGCTGCAGTATCTCTCTCAGTATGATTGTATCACATTTCTTAATCTTCTGGAATCTCTCAGAGCAACAGAGAAGGCATTCGGTCAGAATTCAGGTGGGAGATAAAAGTACTAATATTATTCTAGGAACTGATTTGAGTGAAGTACTAGATTTTATTGGGGAGTCAGGTGTGCAGAGTGCTATATATATTCAACTACATGATGTACTAAGATGTCAAATTATGTTTTATGTTCATAGCTCAGGGATGTAGGTTTTATTGATAGCTAATGTTTCCACCTACTTAACTTCTGTTCTGTATATTAATAAATATTCATATCCATCCAGGCAGTTTTATTTCTAGAAAAGACCATATATCACAGGCAGTCCCCAGCTTAGAAATAGGTTGTATTCTGAAAGTTTAGTTGTTATGAACTTAAAATTCATTTCCCCAAAGAAACGGCAAGGGAATATTGAGTTTCATTAGCCAGAGAATGAGAAGAGATTTGTAGGGAAGCATACATATGCATACATATGCCGCTGTCCACCGACTGGATTTTCTACCAGTCACATTCTTGCCTCATTACTGTGACCTTTCTCACTGTGTGACAAGACCAGTGATTTTTAAAGTGTGGCCCAGGGGCCCCTGGAGCCAAGATTTAATAAAGTTAATATTTCTTATTGCTTCACCAGGGACTTTCTTGAGTCATAAACTACAAATGCACAGAGTTGAAGAATACATTGATTGCTAGTGAACTTTGGGTCCACTGCCTTCATCTGTGCTTGGGCACCAGCAGCATAACCCACCGATGCTTTTGCACCATCATTAGAAACGTCAACACAGTGGGGGAAATTCCGTAATAGTATTAGTATGAGAGTAGTTTTGAGGTCACAGACCATCCGCCTGAAAACATCTTGGGGACCCCCGGGGATCTGTAGGCCGCACTTTGAAAACCACCAGTCTAGCCAAACAGTGACAGAGACCATAACAAGGGAGGTGTGGTTGGGAGATGAACAAGCTGGTGACTGGTTGATATACAGGTCATGTGACCTTCAGAGATGCTCTGAAGTTAACCATAAATTAAAGGCTTTTTTTTTCCCCTTAACATTCTATCTTAGGTTGGCTCTTTCTTGACTCCAGCACCTCAATGTTTGTAAATGCTCGAGCAAGGGTTTATCATGTTCCAGAGGCAAAAATGAGTAAAAGAAGCAAACTGCCTGAAAACCTGGAGATTAAAGAAGAACAAGGTATCTTGTATGATTAAGTCTTCAAACATGTCTTTTTTTTGGGTATTTGGTGTAGAAATGCTTATCAAGTTACAGTATAACTTTAAGTCTCATTCGACTGTGTGAAAAATATGTGACTGCATTTAATTATTTGTTAACATGTAACATATGTGATCTGTGTTAAAAAATATTTGGAATGGATTCATTGCCAGGGGATTCCAAATAACAAACACGAAGTATCAATCAAAAGTATTCTTACTACTACATAAGAATGGTTGATTTTTTTTTTTTTTAACTTCAGTATAATTACTATTTGGGCACTTAAGGTCTTAGTGGACTATTTTAACATCCCGTTTCAGTTCAGTTCACCTAGTCGTGTCCAACTCTTTGCGACCCCATGTACTGCAGCACGCCAGGCCTCCCTGTCCATCACCAACTCCTGGAGTTTACTCAGACTCATGTCCATTGAGTCGGTAATGCCATCTAACCATCTCATCCTCTGTCATCCCCTCCTACCACCTTCAATCTTTCCCAGCATCAAGGTCTTTTCAGATGAGTCATTTCTTCACATCAAGTGGCCGGAGTATTGGAGCTTCAGCATCAGTCCTTCCAATGAATATTCAGGACTGATTTCCTTTAGGATGGATTGGTTGGATCTCCTTGCAGTCCAAGGGACTCTCAAGAGCCTTCTCCAGCACCGCAGTTCAAAAGCATCAATTCTTTGGTGCTCAGCTTTCTTTATAGTCCAACTCTCACATCCATACATGACCACTGTAAAAACTATAGCTTTGACTAGACGGACCTTCGTTGGCAAAGTCATATCTCTGCTTTTTAATATGCTATCTAGGTTGGTCATAACTTTTCTTCCAAGGAGCAAGCGTCTTTTAATTTCATGGCTGCAATCACCCTCTGCAGTGATTTTGAAGCCCAAGAAAATATAGTCTGTTACTGTTTCCACTGTTTCCCCATCTGTTTGCCATGAAATGATGGGACCGGATGCATGATCTTAGTTTTCTGAATGTTGAGCTTTAAGCCAACTTTTTCACTCTCCTCTTCCCTTTCATCAAGTTCCTCTTGATGAAAGTTCCTCTTCATTTTCTGCCATAGGGTGGTGTCATGTGCATATCTAAGGTTATTGATATTTCTCCTGGCAATTTTGATTCCAGCTTGTGCTTCTTCCAGCCCAGCGTTTCTCATGATGTGCTCTGCATATAAGTTAAATCAACAGGGTGACAATATACAGCCTTGATGTACTCCTTTCCCTGTTTGGAACCAGTCCATTGTTCCATGTCTGGTTCTAATTGTTGCTTCCTGACCTGCATAACAGATTTCTCAAGAGGCAGGTCAGGTGGTCTGATATTCCTATCTCTTTAAGCATTTTCTTTTTAGCTTTTAGGAAACAGAGGTACTAGAATGAGGCAAATAATGGATTTTATTTCACACTCATCTATAACTATTATAGTAAATATATAGTGAATATTGTTGGCTTTTTAAGACATAAAAGTGAAAGTGAAAGTCGCTCAGTCATGTCCAACTCTTTGCCACCCCATGGACTATACAGTCCATGGAATTCTCCAGGCCAGAATGCTGGAGTGAGTAGCCTTTCCCTTCTCCAGGGGAGCTTCTTCCCAACCCAGGGATCAAACCCAGGTCTCCCGCTTTGTGGGCAGATTCTTTACCAGCTGAGCCGCCAGGGAAGCCCAAGAATACTGGAGTGGGTAGCCTATCCCTTCTCTAGCAGATCTTCCCAACCCAGTAATAGAACCATGGTTTCCTGCATTGCAGGTGGACTCGTTACCAGCTGAGCTGCCATGCTTATGTCCTGCCTAGTGCAAAGATCTATTTCAAAACTTAATTAAATACATTAGTAATACATTTGAGTACTTACAGAAATAAAAGTTTTATTGTTGTCTGCTTATATCTCGTGTTCAGCATTAGGAAAATCATAGAGATTTTAGAAATAATAAAACCTGTTATTCTGTACTGATTATTTTGTGTAGCAGTTTATATATAACATCATAGTTGACAACTGACATGTAATCACCTCTTATTAGTGACCATGCATATGACTTTCTGTCAAGGCGTTATGGAGCCTGTGTTAATCTGGGTTTGAAGTGTCTTCATTTAGACCATAAGGAGACCTTCTCAAGAATCTGGATTCTCTCATAAGTCTACTTTCCTGGGCTGCATAGTGGGTGCTTGTTTTTTGTTTGTTTGTTTGTTTTTTACTACCTGCACTGTAAGCACTTTGATGGTGCTTGTTGATTGTCTTGATGTGCCGTTTATATGTGTGCGCTAGTTAACCGGACCTCCTAAGTTGACAGTCCTGCCCCTCCTCCCCCCGTTATAAAGGAAGCTCAAAGGAATGGGCTTATAGAATGATGCCTGTGTTATTTGTTTTCAAAGCTTTGGAATAATTTATGGATAAACATTATCACATAGAATGAGATTATCATTTATTTCTATACAGAAACAAAAAAGGAACTGGTCCTAGAAAGCAACCCAAAGTGGGCAGCACTCACAGAAGTTTTGAAGGAAATTGAGGCAGAGAATAAGGAGAGTGAAGTCCTTGGTGGTCCAGGTAGGAAAAAAGGAGATGATGACATTGGCCTTCAAAATCTGGCAAATGAGTCCTTTTGATTAGCTCTTTAAAAATAACTTAACACTATTATTTTGTCTATAGAATAAGAAAACTAAGTGCCACATCACCAAAATCTTAATGACAACTTCCTTTCTTTTCATTGGATGGTTTTCTCCAAGTTCAGTCATTGTATATTCATGAAAGCAGGTTGTTTTACTGCTTGAGTTCTTGGGAAAACTTCTATTTAAAGATATAGCTTATCAACTATTATATAGAGAGTGGATAAACAACAAGGTCCTACTATATAGCATAGGGAACTCAAATCAATATCCTGTGATAAACTGTATTGGAAAAGAATATTAAGAAGAATGTGTGTATGTATATACCTGAGTCAGTTTGCTGTATAGCAAAAATTAACATCATAAATCAACTAGGCTTCAATTAAAAAAATAAAAGATGCAACTGATCTCCACATATATGTTTACTAGGCTTTAAAGCTTAAAGTCTGGAATCCCCAAGGAGAAAGCTAATGGGCTTATGTTTTAAGTTGTCTGCAAGTCTTTTCAAAGAAGCGTTAATTGGCCTGTGGAGTAACATCGGCCTAGCCCTAAGTTTTAGGGCTACTCTCTTTAAACATTAGCACCATAGACTGAACCTGAGCTAAGTTTTTAAAATAAAACCAGATAAAAAATAAAACTAAATTTTAAAGAATATCTGTTGAGACTTTGACTCCTATAAAGCAGTAAAGGCAAGCACAGAGTCCTTATGTGAGTATTATTCTATGATATTATCACAGAACATATGGTGCTGTGATTTATGACCCTAAGTCATACACATCCACTTAGACAAAGTGAAAAGTATAAAGAAAAAAGAAAAGGGGGAAAAATTATGTCTCACAGCCACTGTTAACCCTGACATATTTCCTTCCTGGTTTTCTTCTGTGTATTTTCTGTTTCACATTGTTAAAGTTATAGTATAGATATAACACTATGAAGTTATAGTGTAGATTAATTCTGGATGTAGAATTAATGAGACAAATGACACTGACATTTTCAAAGTTCTCAAAACATATTACCACATTGATATGTAGGTTTTTTCTTTTTTTTATCAGTTGTCATTTCTTTTGGAAGTATAAGACCTTGTCTCTTTTTCACCTAGCTAGCATTGACTGAAGATGCTGTATATATTTGTGTGTATCTGCATGTATCACATATGTATAACAGTTTTATTGATTTGATGGGAGAAAAATGCTTATCTAGTTTGAAATTTTGATGTTTAGGGAACTCAGTATTTTCTCAGATGCATTTCTTCCTTTGTGAATTGTGTTAGTTTCCTTTGCTGGTTTAAGGTGTGTTCTTAGTTTGTATCAGCTTTTTATACATTGAAGATGCTAACATTTATCATAGTTGTATAAAGTTGTATTTTGTCTTTAGCTCTTTAAGATTAGAAATGGGTTTATTTAGAGAGGTACACATACTGTAGACAGAACACAGTCCATCTCAAAAGGCTTGAGAGCAGTCTTTCTTTACCTTTATAATGCACAGTTAATTCTCCAGTGTATTGAGTCAGTCTTAGTTTACAGATATCAATCTTCTCTGAGATTTCTTCATTGCTTTTAAGCCTGGAAAAGCATCCTCATATGGAGAGATGGAGAAGAGTCATCTTTTTTTTATGATTTATTGTTTAACATTTGACTTTGTAATCCATTTGGCATTTATTTTAGTATTTCCAGATCCTCTGGAAAATTATTAATTAAAAAGAGCTCCTTTAAAGCCTCTGTTATACCACAGCTATATTTTCATAAGTCTCTAAATATTTCTGGCTTCAACTTTACCCAAAAGATTTAAGTGATCCTGGCAGAGAGGTGAATGTCTTTGATGAGCATCTGAAACCCTTGTTAAACAAATTGTAAAGTATCTTTAGCACCAAGGAGGTGAGACGGGTCTTCTCTGTGGGGGACAGGAGGAGGAGGCACAGAGGGAGGAGGGCAGGAAGTGAGCTAATAGCTCCATAACGCTGTTTTCAATTTTAGGACAAGTTCTCATTTGCGCAAGTGATGACAGGACGTGTTCCCAGCTGCGAGAGTACCTCATTGTCGGAGCAGAGGTCTTCTTGTTGAGGCTGTACAGAAAAACCTTTGAGAAGGACAGCAAAGCCGAAGATGTATGGATGAGATTAAGGAAGGAAGATGACTCGAAGAGAATCGTGAAATCCAACAAGAGGCCCAAAGACCTCCGAGACAAAGACAGGCCCCCTGCCAAAGAGAAGGCCCTCAGAAAGAAGAAACCAAGGTTGACTTTAACTCAGATGATGGGAAGAACTGAAGAACTAGAGGGGGAGGCAGGTGTTGAGGAGGGCAGCCCAAGAGAGCTGACCAGTAGCCCGGAGAGCTGCACAGGAGACAGTAAGCAGGAGGAGTCTGATGTGAACCTGTCCTCCGATACCGCCTACGGGATTCTGAAAGACCCCCTTACCATCATCCACCCGCTCCTAGGCTGCAGTGATCCCTACGCTCTGACACGCGTGCTCCACGAGGTGGAGCCGAGATACGTGGTCTTGTATGATGCAGAGCTGACCTTCGTGCGTCAGCTTGAAATTTACAGGGCGTCTCGGCCCGGGAAGCCTCTCAGGCAAGTTGTAGGGAAGGTGAAGTCTCACCTTACAGGCTCAGCTTCACAGTTCTGTAGGGTTTAGTACAGACAGACCAGCTGCCCACGGGCTTTCTGATCTTTAACGCTGCCTTGTTGGGATGTTGGCTGAGTTTATGAAACGTCTGGTGGTTCCGGTCAGTCTGGGAAGTGCGCTTGAGGATGAGGTCGCATGTTGTAGTGTAACCAGGGATCTGGGGGAACGCCTCCCTTGTTAACCTTCTCTGCTGCTGTTCGGTGCCATATTCTTTATGCATCGGTTGTAGCCTACAGGGTGCCGTCTCTGAATAAGCCTAGGAAATTTACAATATCCTAACTTCTCCCAAATGTACATGTAATTATGACTCAGCAAAATCATTTCATAATTCGAAAATGTCTTTCTTTTAAATCTGAAGAAGTGACTCTAAGTTACAGCCACATAAAACAAGTATTTGGGAAATTATTGTACCAAGTTTTCTTGAGTTTCAAGAACTATCAGATGAGAAATCTACAGAAATATCAGATGAGAAAATGGTGCCTCCCAAAGAATATAGTGTTCTGGCTCTCCAATTATCCGAGGGAAATAAACAGCAAAATTAATATCCTGAACTCAGCCTGAACCAAAATCAGAGCCAAAAGAAACCTTTCTAGCCAGTTTAACGAAGGCAACCCTTCCAAGTAGAGATGAATGGAGGAGTTGGGTCAGAAATAATGCAGGATAAAGAGATTAGACGAAGCTGGTAAAGTAATTATAGGCTGATAAATTTTTCATACTTTACCATTGATCAATACTGTAGATAGCTTATGTGCACCCAAGTTCTCTGTTGCCTGATAATAGAATACTGTGTGATGCTTAGAAACAAAATGTCAGAAATGGAAGGGGCTTTGGAGTTCAACCACTTAGTCCAACAATGAGAAACCGAGGCTCAGAGGTGGTGAATGACTTGCCCTTGGCCACTTGATATATTCGTGGCAGAGCTGGGGGTCTCTGGACTCATTGGCCAGTGGCCTTTTCCATGTTCACGCTTTTAAAAAATGCAATCTAGGAAGATGAAGGTCAAAAGAAAAATCGAGGGTTAAAGAGGAAAAATATTTTTAAAAAAAAAGGAAAAATAGCTCTGATGGAAGGTGAAGAAAAGGTGCTTCATTCAGCTTAGCAACAAACAAGATAGAAAGCTGGCCTTTTCTAAGAGAAAAGAATATGTCAAATTATTTCTTGAGGCGCTTGATATAATCCATATGTCCTCTGTGTCCATGTGTTTATATAAAATGTGCGATGGCTTGGTTCTGTTAAGACATGAATAAAAAGGAACTGAGAAATTACTTGTGAAGATAAAGGTCATATAGATTTCATTTGTTTACTTTTCACTAACATGAACTTTCCTAAGCTGGCTTTTATAACTGCTCTCCAACTTTTTAAATGATTGTTTGGCAGGGGTGCAAAGAAAAAATTGAAAAAAGAGAAGCCGCTAAGATTGTGTTTTCTGATTTGTTTATAGTTATGAGGAAAGAATTACTCTATCCCTCTTTGTTATGTTTCAGTGTTTACCTAAACTCCATTCCTCCTTTCGGTGAAAGAAGAAAGGGAAAAAAAGCCCATGTGGTAATGAGACCTTTAACAGGTGGGGTTTAGGCTGCTTGATTTTAGCAAGAGTGTGATTAATGGAACCTTTTCTTCTCCATCAAATATTATTTGAACACTCTGGGTTGCTGATTTCACGCTTTTCCTTCCAGGGATTAAAAATTATGTGTTTTCAACCTAAAAGAGATCTGTCTTAACTTGCAGGGTTTACTTTCTTATATATGGAGGGTCAACGGAGGAACAGCGCTATCTCACTGCTTTGCGGAAAGAAAAGGAAGCTTTTGAAAAGCTCATAAGGTAAATACGCAGGAGATCAGTATGAAGGAATCAAAGGCCTTTGAAGATTCAGAGGCTTCTCTGGATCTAGGTGGGGGAATATCTCCTAGCCCTTAGGTGCTAGGGAGAGTCACGTCAAGATACACCTGTGGTCTGATAACCCCCCAGGGTTTACATGGATCAGCACCCATTTCTTTTTTCCCTGCCTCTCCACCATCCCCATTTGCTTTTCAGGGGTTTGATGGACTATTAGATATGTGAAGAAAACTGCTTTTTTGTTTGTAAAGAAATAAAACCTAAAGCACCAGCAATAGAACTCTCCCCCTCCCCCATGTCCAAGATTTCTCCCTTCGCTTGGAATCATGATTTTTTTTTTCCCTTGTGAAATCTCCATTGTCTTGGGTGGGTGACTGGCTATGGGCTTTCAGTATATGCCTAAAATATGTGGATAACCCCAGTGCATCCAGGAATGGTTTCCAGACACAGGAGCCCTTCCTGAGTCAGTGCCATTGAGTCCCTGTAAAGACACTCAGCACAGTATGTGGGCAGCACCCTGTGCTGTCCTTCCCTCCCCTTCCCCTCCTCTGTGATGGTGGCATGTCTTAGGCAAGGATTTTTTTTTTCCATTTATTTTTATTAGTTGGAGGCTAATTACTTTACAACATTGCAGTGGTTTTTGTCATACATTGACATGAATCAGCCATGGATTTACATGTATTCCCCATCCCAATCCCTCCTCCCACCTCCCTCTCTGCCCGATCCCTCTGGGTCTTCCCAGTGCACCAGGCCCGAGCACTTGTCTCATGCATCCAACCTGGGCTGGTGATCTGTTTCACCCTAGATAATATACATGTTTCGATGCTGTTCTCTCAAAACATCCCACCCTCGCCTTCTCCCAGAGTGTCCAAGTCTGTTCTATACATCTGAGTCTCTTTTTCTGTTTTGCAT